GTGAATGGCATTGCCTAGCAATTTCACCTCTTTTTCAACAGTCTTCCTTCCTTAATCCAATGACCAGCAGGGAAGGGGTGAATCTTCAAAGTTGGCCAGGGAAGCAAATATTATGTGGCAAACACCCTTCTAAAACACTGCACACACACCCAGAGAATCACAAGTGTGAGCAGGAATCTATACTAATAAAAGGGTAATATGCTAATTAGACAAGACATCTTCCGGACGGCCTTCTGGATATCCTTCTGGACAAAGCCATGGTGGCAGGGCTGAGGCAGAAGTGGTTAGGGGTGATCAGGCCGGCAGGGAGAGTAGTTGGGGTGATCAGGCCAGCAGGGGAGAGCAGTTAGGGGGATCAGGCCCGCAGGGGAGAGCAGTGAGGGCAATCAGGCCAGCAGGGGACAGCAGTGAGGGATCAGGCTGGCAGCGGGGAGTAGTTAGGGGGAGCAGGCCAGCAGGGGAGAGTACTTAGGGGGATCAGGCTGGCAGAGGAGAGCAGTTAGGGGGATCAGGCTAGCATGAAGGTGAGCGGTTAGGAGCCAGTGGTCCCAGATTGCAAGAGGGATCCCAGATTGGAGAGGGTGCAGGCCAGACTGAGGAACTGCCCTCCCTGTGCATGAATTTTGTGTACCATGCCTCTAGTTTCAATATATTGTTGAACAAACCATGGAGTAGTTCCCTTATCCCTGGCATATGTAACAGTTAAGTGAGGACCACTAACTCAATGCCTAGAGTGGGCAAGCAGATCATATAAACAAATAAAGCAGGCAGGGGCATCACTAGGGTGTGGTGGGGACTGTGGCAAAGTGGAGAATGTGGGCTGAATCTACAGGGCACTGGTTGTCTTCAGGGGAAGTAGACCCGAGAGCAGGTCTTCTAACTTTGCAAAAACTTGCAACCTGGATTTGCATGTGAAATCTCTTGTTCTTTTAAATGTCTGTGGCCAGTTCTAATTTTTAAAAAACTGTCCAGACAAGCAGCACCTCTACAGGTAGTATCTGACCAGCAGGCAGCCAATTCCTGACTACTAAGTAAATGGTTTTTCATGTTACTCATTTTTCTTGTTTCCCACATCCTCGGAAGTTAAGTGGGAAGAAAGGACTACACTCAGGCTTTATTTTAAATTAAAGTTCATGTCGGTTGTCCATGTGGCTGTCTATAGCTGAGACATCTTGGGAAGTTGTTGGGCAGAGGAGAGCACAATTTGAAGCTCTCTATTTCCTTTTCATTTCTGTTTATTTCAGCAGTAGAGTCAGAGGAACAATTATGTTGTTACAGTAACAGCCACTTGTCTTGAAAGACTAAGAAAGGAATAACGGATGAAAGAGGCCCAGACCAGAGAGAGGAGCAGCCTGCCAACCGAAATCACAGCATCAGTGCTTCAAGCAAGAGAAACAGATAACTGCTTGCTCTTAAGAACTCATGGTCTTAAAACTATCAAGAGAACTTTACACGAGCATCTGAGAATGGATAAAACCCCACATGTTCACACTTAATAGCAGTGACTAATTTTTGAAATTGCTATACTGGGTGAGGTCACAAGAAATGACTTTCATGCTGGTTGCAGTCACGGTTGGATGTCCATCCCAAATCAATTTCACGCTCCTGCCTTACTCAGAGAGCCTTGATTTTGTTTAGGTTTCTGTCCTTCCTCCCACATGACTCATTGGTGAATCCTAATTGGTGAGGTCAGTGGTCCAGTTCCCTTTTGTTAGTGATAGGTTGGGGCAAGCCTGTGACTCAGCTGCTCATTGAGGTGTGAGGGATTTAGAGGTTTCTGGGAAAGGACTCAGAGCTATTAATAAGGCGAAGCCTAAAAAATGATGACCTCTTTGATTTGTTGCATGTTGTCTCGTCTGGATGTGACACCTAGAGCTTTGGCAGCCCTCTTGCGACCATGAGAGAAATCAGCCTAAGGACACACCTGAACCATGGTGGCAGAGTGGCAAGATGGAAACCCATTGTGCTTGAAGAAATAGTGGAGTCACCGAATTAAATTGAATGAAACGACCCTGAATCCCACCTCCCTCAGGATTTCTTGTATATGAGAGACAAGGTATTTTAAATCTTTTACACCAATTTTACTAACAGCTAAAGGTATAGGGCAGTGGTCGGCAAACTCATTAGTCAACAGAGCCAAATATCAGCAGTACAACGATTGAAATTTCTTTTGGGAGCCAAATTTTTTAAAATTCAACTATATAGGTAGGTACATTGTTATTAACTTAATTAGGGTACTCCTAAGGCTTAGGAAGAGCCACACTCAAGGGGCCAAAGAGCCGCATGTGGCTCGTGAGCAGCAGTTTGCCGACCACGGGTATAGGGAGAACTAAAATTCAACAAAGGAAAACAACCCACTTCAAAAATGGGCAAATGACTTCAAAAAACATTTTTCCTAAAAGATATACAAATGGCCATGAGCTAAGCACAGGAAAACATGGAGCCCCAGGAGGGGACACTATGAGTATTTCCAGTGCATGCGATGACCCCCATCCTGCTCTGGGAATGGCAATCGTTCATCGTTGTGAGTTGCCCCAGAAGCGCTATTTCATTGTCTATAAAGCAGCCAGTGGCTGAGAAGATGAATAATGCCAACCCCATGTTTTACTTCCATTACTCCCTGCACATTAGAGCTGGGTAAAAATGCTCTGGAAAGATCAAATAGCCCCAGTAGGACCTGAAAGGTGGGCATTGTGGGGCTGGCAATTATACCACTCGGCTTGAAATGCCTGCTTGGCGTGTCACTGAACCTCTGATCGTAAGCAAAGACTGCCAGATTACCCTGTAGCACTTAAGAAAAAAAGACTGTGCTTTTAAAGGAACAGATTTGAAGACAATATTGCTTCCTTCCCTTTTGGATTCTCCCTCCTTACTCTCCTGCTTTGCTGCAAGGATTTCTAAGTATTGTCACCTCTTAAAAACAATTTTCTGCTGTTGCTGTGTGCACACACCTGGCCATGCTTTCCCAGAATCCCCAGCTGGATATTAACTGTTCTCTAGAATAGCAATGGGCAGAAATCAACGAGGAAAGTCTTTTGAGGGGCACAAGGGAAAAAAGACATCTGTTATGTGGCTGACCAATCTTTTAAAGACTATCTCTTTTTGCTAGGGTCCCATAATTTTAGTCCAATTATACCAAAGTAGAATCTTAAAAACTACATTTCCCAGCTTTCCTCACAGCTAGATACAGGCATGTGACCCAGGTTCCACCAATCAGATATAGACATTGAAGGCTGATTTGGAAGTAAGCCAAGGCTTTGGGGGTATAATACTGTGGGCAGAGATTATGACAGAGGCCTTGAAAGACAGTGCCAATTCAGGCAGTTGTGCGGGAGCAATGTATGCAATTGCCATCTCATTAACCCAACCAGAGGTCTGGCTTTGAGCACTGAACCTGCAAGTTGAGCCTTGAGAACGTTTCCCTGGTCTTCCCTGACTACTATCTTCTCATAAAGTCCTTTTCCTACTTAACCCAAGGTGATAGATTCTGTTATCTGCAGCTAAAAATGGCCTGACCTGGCAGGCACACACCGATATGTGACAAGACTTCACTTGCAAACAAGGGTTCAAGAAAGCTCTTCACTAAGAGATTCTAATCATGACCTGGGCTTGGTACAGAGGAGCTCTGCAAGGTCGGAAGGTTTGGGTGACCTATTCCGGTCTCTCGGTCAGAATTCATAAAGAAAAAATGACTTCAGCTAAAACATAGGATCACATCTACTCTCAGGAGACAACCAAACAAGTGGCCGTCTAGATGGGGCTGTTCTAGGGCACTGCCTTCCTCTCCCCACCGGAAGTGTCAACCATGCATGTCCTTTGGAGGGAGAATCCTTCTGACAGGGCTTACCTCTCCATCATTACCCACATGGCAGACATTAGTTAACACCGCTCAGGACTGAGTTCTTGGGAAAGAGACCCAGGTGAGTCCCAGAAGTGAAAGGTGGTAAGATGCTGAAGCACATTTCACATATTTCCCCAGGTCTGGCTCTGTTGTGAATCAGCATGGTTTTAAAAGAAATTAAAAAGAACACATTACATCTTATGTGGTTCTTTGACAATCAAAACAGAGCAAGATAAATATCTTTACTGTTTCAAATGCGATTTCCCTAAATGAAAGAAATCTGAGCATATGGCAAGAAGCTTGAAAATCTGTTAACATCATGAGAATGTCATGATAAAACTGGGACTGGTGAGCATTATGAGCTGCCAGTCCATGTTCTCTGAAAATGGAAGGGAATCTCCTTAATTCATTTTCTCCAAGACCAAAAATGAAATTTTGAAGAAATGGTGCTACTTAAATATACTGAAAGGGGGGTTTAAAATGAGGTAGTGTAGAAATCATTAAATAGTGAAAAAAAATCTAGTGACTTTGGATGTTTGAATCCCAGTTCCATCTATGATGTGACCTTGAACAAGTCACTTGATCTCTCTAACCCTCTGTTTCCTTATCTATTGGATGACAATGTTTATTCTTGGCTTATCAAACTGCTATAAGGAGAATATCAATAACCTTGGCAAAGTATCTGGTCATGGATAGGGCTAAAGAAATGGTAACCATTAAGTGGTGAATCGGACACCTTCAACTTAGTCCATCTGATGGTAATAACAGAGGATGAGCTTCTAGCAGTAGCCTCTAGAACAGTAGTTCTCAACCTTGGCTGCACATTAGAATCACCTGGGAATCTTTTTAAAATCCTGATTTCTGGGCCTCATCCTCCGGAAATTCTGTTTCTTTGTTACTAATGTTGTCGCCCCACCCCATAACAAAGAAACAGAATTTCCAGAGGATGAGGCCCAGAAATCAGGATTTTAAAAAGATTCCCAGGTGATTCTAATGTGCAGCCAAGGTTGAGAACCACTGCTCTAGAAAGTCTGTAAGTCACTGCAAGGATTCAGTAAGTGGCCTTCAGAAGGGAGAACTCAAAATTCAGCCTTCATCAATGAGCACACAAGTTCATTATCAAGTTTTTCATTAATCTCTGCCACACTGTCCTCTCATTAGGAATTGAAATAAAACTACCTGCCCTTTGGACGGTGTGTTTAAGCTTTTATTGTGAATGGTAACAGGTCAGAGACTGGAATGTAATTGACACAGAGGCTAAATTCCAAGAGCATTACTTGGAAGACTCTTTATGGACAATAATTTCACAGAAGACAAATTCAAACCAGAAGATGCTGCTTGAAAACCACGAATTTAGTCAAGGTTGAAAGATACAAGAATAGTTAAGTATTTTGCACAAAGGAAATCTGGTGGATGAGCCGGTAGAATTGATGCCTGTGGAATGCATTCTCAAGGGTTCTGTTTTGCTTCTTTGAGAGAGGCCATCATTGTCGGTTCAGCTGGGGGTTCCTCCCTTCACATTGAGAACCTGGAGCAGAGAGATCAGAACCATAAAAAAGCATTAGAAAGAGTTAAGCAAATGTAGTTAGTTATACTTGACGTAACTCCATTCCCAACAAACCATCAGCATCACGTGGAACTAGTTAGCAAGGCAAACTCCTAGGACCTAGATCACCTTGACCGACTGAATTGGAACCGGTGGGGGTGAGGCCCAGCAATCTGTGCTTTCACGAGTCTCAGGTGTTCTGAGTGAGCATGTTAATGCTCCAAAACCATAGCTGTCCCGAGAGAGAAACAAACTTCCTCTCTTTTGGGAGCCACTATATTTTTGGGGTCTTTTTGTTATATCAGCTTAACTTGCACTCTGATATATTTTGACTAATGTTAACAATTAAATGTATTATCCCCAGGAATTGTGACTAAATAGAAGCTGGTTAGGAGGACTATTAGGGAATGTGGAATCTTGATTCTTACTTGGCTTCTTTTGGCAATACCTCATTACATGAATCAATTTGTGAATTACACAGTTATATATCATAAACCCATGAATATACGTGGTAGCAGTGTGAGCAACTTGGGAAGACAAGCCTATATGGGTTTCTGCCAGTTCTCCATTTATTGTGGTTTGCTTGTTGTGGCTTCAGTTCAAATTAACTAAGACTGAAGAAGAATGAAAAGCTATCATTTAAAAAACCCTTCTTTGTTCCCCTATAGCAGCCTTTACGCACTGAGGTGAGTAAACACTTTTCATCCAGACTAGATCTTATTATGCTTTTCAAGAGCATAATTCTGGAAATTCGGGTTCTCTGGCATCCAGATCAGCCATTTGTTCCTAATAACGAAACTGATTTCCTCAGACCAGAAATTACCTGCTCTATGGCTCAATGCTTGGCCAGGTGTTAATGAGGCCAGGGCCTGGGGTTTAACTCCCACCCAAGCCAATTAGCTTTGCTCTCCTCCATGAGCCCAGGATGCACTATTAAGGGTCACCAACCTGCCTGAAGATGCTGCTACCCACCTGGCATTATGAGCCACAGGTCATAAAAGGGGCCAGCTGAGGATGTGGGAAATAATCCATAGAAGTCCTCCCATTGGCAGAAAATATTGAATTTGAGTGGTTTGGCTCAGGGAGAGGAAGTAAAGCTACAAGGAAAAGAATTGTGTACCCCAGGAAGATTGAGGACCTAGAGGCAGGAGGGGAGTGAAGAGGCCAACATTCCTCTGTTCCTTCATGGAAACTGTCAGGGTGGTCAGAGGATTTTTAGTTCTTTTTGGTTGCATGTTGCTTTCCCTATATTTGGAGCTTCCTTTGGAGTAGTTCACATATTAATAAGTAAAACTTTTCTATTCTCTATACTAATTTGATGGGACAATGGGAGCAGTCTCTTAAAAGTGAGGGCAAACGTGCAACATTTCCTTCCTTTCCATAACAGCTTTGGCAACACATTCCTCAAGTCCCTCTCCTGTCCACCAAATAAGAGAGAAAAAAACCGTAAGGCTACAAAGAACAATGAACTGGGTCTAAATCACAAGAGAAACCCAAAGGCCAACTTCAACCTTTACTGAAACTCAGGACAATCCACAACCACACGCAGGATTAGGGATTAGGCCCTGGAGTTGGCCAACCTAAACACTGTTTTATATTACAGAAACCATAGCATCAAAGTTCCATTCATTTTTGTAAGAAGGATATAGTTAAAAGAAAATTAAGTTTAACCTTGAAATGATTGGCCATAATTTCTGATAAAGTTCTGGAGCTTGTTTGCCATGATATTGTATCCACCCAGTAGATTCAGTGCACATTTGCACAGATCTTTTCTGAATTGAGTCAATAGCCTTGTCATCAAAACCTAGGAAATGCTCAGCATTTCTAACTACAGCTCTGGGAGAATTGGCAATAGGACTTGATGTCTTTTTACTAAAGGGGGAGAGGAGAGCATATGTGGATAGTTATTAATTTTAAGACAAGTCCTTCAGCCTCTGAGAACTCCTGCTG